CATTTTGTATTAATCACTTAAATCATGCATAGGTGATAATTTACCATGAAGCTTTACACATGCCTTAACACTCTCGTATATAGATTTTATAACATTGAACATCCGTCCTCCTACTCCTGATTTCCACAACTTGAACCACAATTGGTCATGAAATATACTATCAAAAGCCTTTCTATAGTCTACAAAGGCACAATAAAGCCTTTAATTACTTTGTAGTGTTTTGGTAATCAAGGTATTAAGTACAAAAATGGCGTCTCTGGTACCACTTCCGGGCTTGAAACCAAACTGAGCGTCTGTAATTACATTCTTTCGCTCCACCTAAGCATTCGTCTATTCAAGATTGAAGTAAATAACTTGGCAATATGACTTAGAGGGGTGATTCACCTATAATTATTTATATTGTTTTTATCACCCTTTTTATGTAAGGGAATAATCACTCCTTGTGCCCAAGCTTTAGGAAATTATCCTACTTGTAACATAGAATTAAACAATTTCTGGAAAACTGGTGCAAAAACATCGGTATACTCAATAAAATATTCATTAATGACATTATCTTGGCCAGCAGATTTACCTTTCGATGACCCTTTAATTGAAACTACTATTTCTTCAAGACTGAAATCATCCTCAAGCTCATGTATAACAGACGCGTTTAAGATAATCACGGGTTAATAAACGGCTTCTGCTGCGCCTGAGGCCGTTTTGGCCCGGTGTACGTGCTATTGGTCCTGAGGACTTAAATACCAATACGGCATGAGGCCCCACAGAAGCTGTGTACCTAACTGTTTATTGCATATGTAGATATTTTCCTATACATTTAAAGTTTTGAAGCTATAGTGTTATTGGGCTTGTTTCAATGAACGTCACAATTTTGGGAAAAGTTATTGGAAAGAGTTGTATGCTTGTGTCCTTTTGACGACATTGACTTCGTTTTTTTCTTTGTTTTAATAACGGTCAGCGTCTTATTTGATGTTTATCGGGGACAAAACGGAGGAAGGCTAGTAACTTCTATTGGTCCGGAGCCCAATCTCGTTTTGGATATTTTGCCATTCCCATCGTTAATATTTAGAGTAACATATGTAACAAAGGTCATTTATTTACTGTCGGACAAGAAATGACGCTATATTTTGCTTCTAGGTTAATATTTACTCAAATGTGTAACAGTTTATGTATGAAAAGCATTTGAATAGCTGATTATGTTTTGCGATCCATTCATTTATGCACGCAGTTAATAGCACAGTAAGACTCCGTTCTTTATGACAAATTCTTTTGTCTCTGAATTAAGTAGATAAAGTAGTAGGACTTTGCATAGATTGGGCTGGTACTGGTTAAAAATCCAGGTATGTGGTTTGTTGACCTGTCCCTAATGCAATGACCTAAAGGCATGTTTTGATTCAGAGCGGATACTCAGATGAGACCTACACGTTACGTTTAATTTTGCAGTTGTCGGAGTTCAGCATTTCTGTGGGGACCAAAGATCAGATAATGTCGAGAGGTCAGATGTTCAGAACTAATCAGTGATGTCAGCGGCGAGTGTTTTGACGACAGCAAATAGTGTCATTGTGTTTCAGCAAAAGATTGCAGTTACTTTACATGTGCTCGTATGTAAACTCTTGATTAGTGATTAGGGTCAAATCAGTACATAATGTCGAAAGATGAGTAATAGGCAGTGATGTAGGCGGTGCTAACTTGGACGGCAGCAAGTAGTGTTACAGTAATACTGCGTAACATACATGTACAATTGCATGTTTACATGAGACTCGAAATAAAGATTGTTTTGTGAACTGAACCCTTTGAATTCTTATACGATACTGAATCATAAACGCTCAACATGGAACTTACTACGAATATCACTGACAACTGATACACAGAACAAACACAGTATTTCACTTATATATCAGATATCATGACGCAAATAATACGCAGTAGTCTTTATATATAATCTCATCCTGCCATGGCACCCTTCCCCTTTTGAAATAGGCACACAGATAGTCCCTCTGTGTCTGTGCTTCTCGTGTTACAAGAGGTCCTCTGTGCTGCTGACCATCCAGAAGCTGGGCACCATGACGCCAAGCACCGGGTACAACGTTACCGTGCTCATCCTCCTGATCAACGTCGGGTAGTTGGAGGGCTGGAGCCCTATTTCGCATCCAGTTGTGTAACGTTAATGTTCCCTGGGCTATGTTGGGGGCACTTGGAACACTGCATTGTAAAGTCGTTAGTAAACACCGCCATCGGTGTGCCAAGATGCCGAAGGCGTTCTCAACAACACGTCTGGCCCGGGACTGTCGATAGTTGAACACCCTCTGGTCATTTGTCATCCCACTCATTGCGTATGGCTTCATAAGCCATGTTCGTAACGGGAATGCATTATCTCCTAATATGAAATACGGGATAGCTTGGTCATCTTGCGGGAGGGGCTCGGCCGGTGAAAAACGGATTGTGTTGTCCTCAAGAGCGGCTCGTAAGGAACACTCATTGAAAATGCCAGCATCAGACGCTTGCCCACAGAAACTTGTATTCGGCATTTACCAAACCCAACTACACCATGTACCGGAATCCTTTGTAGTTACAGAAATCACTCCCAGAGAGACGTGGCTTCGAAACGGCGATATGTTTTAAGTCAATGGCACCACACGCATGATGAAAGTTCCACCGATTGCCGAACGCCTGTGCCACTTCACGCCACTGATCTGGGCTAGGATGCAGAGTGAAAACTTCCTCTTTATACTCGTCATATATCGCTCGACACACCTCAGGAACAAAGCGGGAGATAGTGTTCTGGGCTACTCTGAATGCGCACTGTAAAGACTTATAACTCATCCCGGTGGCCAGAAAGCGCAGAGTTATCACTAACTTCTCTCCGGACTCAATAGATCCACGACCCCTGAAATTGGAAAAATACAACAAATGTAAAAGTTTAAGGGCCCTTAATGCAATTTGGCATTTGCAAAGAACATGAATCTAGCTCAGTCGTGGTATAAAGACGCGTCTGATTAGGATCCATATTGTTTGCTATTGTGATAGCAAAATGAAATATAAAATACATCATCTCTGTACATATATACATGTATATATATCTAAAATGCAATATATTTATTGGAAACTTAAGAGGTAGTCAAATGTTTAACTTGCCTGTTGGACTTGGTGATATGAGGACCAACTCATAGAAGTAGCTCGGCAAACATGTTCGAGCTCATTCTTATGTAGCTCAGGTAATCCCCGTCGAACACCCTTTCCATCTCCTGAAAGAGTGTGTGATAGTGGCCAAACAGCCGACGCCGCTCCAACCATGGCTTCACCCACAGACGTCTCTGTTGGGCTCTTCCGCGTTGACGCTCACGAACAAGCACTAAACAAATAGCGTCGTCCCGTTCTTCATCCGCGAGTATCCTGTTTATTGCTGCAATATGCAACCTTTGTGTCTGGATAGCCATAGTTAACTCCGTGAAGGCCTGCTGCAGAATGAGGCTGTTGCTGCATACCATGGTGTATATATACTGAGAGGAAAAAGAAACGCAATTAGGAATTTCCAGGTCAACTACGGGAAATAGAAAAGGGTTTTAGAATGTAATTATGGTGTAACTGGAAGATAGTTGACCATCTACGAGAATTTCATTCGTGTACGTTAAGTAAACCTTTCAAATTTGACGTTGTTTCAAGAGTACCCCACTCAAAATGAAGTGCGTTCTGGACCAATCAATATCATGTGTGCCCCCCGCGAGCTGCAGTAACTGCACGAACTCTTTTGTGCATTGAATTAATCGGGCTATTAACCCTCCTCATTGGTATACGATTCCATTCCTCATCCAGCGCCAACGCCAACTGAGCGACGTTGATTGGAGGATTCGGCCTACGTCATATACTTCTGTCCAACTCGTCCCATAAATCTTCTATTGGGGAAAGGTCAGGGCTGTATGGGGGCCAGTCTAGGGTGGGGACATTGTTTGCTGCGATATAACCACGGGAAACCTCGCTACATGCGGCCGGGCGTTATCCTGCTGAAACGTCAGTTGACGCTGCTGTACTAGAGGAACAACATGCGGCGCTAAGACTTGATCTCTATAGCGGACGGCAGTGAGATTTCCCAGAATAACGACCAGAGGAGTCTAGATACCATGCGCAATCCCTCCCCATACCATGACCGATCATCCCCCAAAGCGGTCTTTCTCTATCACGCAAGCATCTGCATAGCGCTCGTGGGTACGTCTATAGACACGACGTCGGCCGTCTGCCCGGTAAAGCGAAAACCTGGACTCGTCTGAGAACAGAACCCTTCTCCAACGTTGCATTGGGAAGCGTCTTACGGAATGTGCGTTCAGCCATTGCATTCGTCTGGCACGTCGCCGCGCATTAAGCTGTGGTCCAGCATATGGCCGCCGCGGTCTTAGACCGAAGGCACGCAGTCGAGAACGCACTGTCTTTGGATCAAATGGAACATGATGACGCCCAATTGTGTTCCTTGCTGTTTCCGTGACCGTCAGAAAGCGATTGCCCTATCCTGCCGACGCGTCGTCACACGAGGGTGACCGCTTCGGGGACGGTCTGCAACCCCTCCGGTGGCATGTAGTCTTTGGAAGAGACGGCAAATGTTCGATTGATTTTGCGGGGTACCTTGCATAAGAAGTGCAATAACACGACCCCTGTCAACTTCGGACAGTCATAGCATTTTTACGGTGAACTGTTTATGCTTAAAATGTTGGAAACCAAAACGGATATGCCTGAAGATTCGCACATACAGATTTTGAACCATTCCTTTATACTGGGTTCGAGATATCGTGCTTTTGTCTCTTATTCTTTTGTACAAGCGGCGTGCGCAGTTTAGTTATGCATCAGTGATTTTAAAACGGTACCATAGGGACATAACTCAAATGAAACACATTTGTCAAATTTCAAGGGTGTACGTCAAGGATTTAATTTACTATATTAACTATCTGTTAATTGCGTTTCTTTTTCCTCTCAGTATATATCCAAATCTGGACAAGAGCAGATAATTCCTCCTAATGGCGATTGCACGAACACCGTACAGCTGTCTTGCAAATTCGTGCTTGCCGTGCTGTGGACGTAAGAAACTTTGCAAATTCTTACGGCAGTCTTGCGGGTACCTTGAGAATTTGTGCGACAGCCTCAGGATAACCGCGTGACAGCCGTGCGAACACGTCGCTTTTTTTTTTTTTTTTTTTTACGTTCAATCTTCGAACACGTTACGGTTCGTGAGTCAACCGTGCGAACAACGTACGGAGATCGCTCTGAACATTTGAAGTATGTGCGACGGGTGCGAATATGTAGCGATTGTGTTTGTGTTTTGTTAAAATTCAATTTAGGAATCTGGATTTGTTATAATGAAATACGGTTATGTAAAATATGTATCTATTCTGTTTGAATTTTGAAAAAAGATTATCATTGTTCTCACATTCTGATATAAATAGTGTTTGTAAGAACGGTACAGCATCGACTCTCTCAGCCTGCTTCGTCTGTGTAAAAATAACAGCGGTAAATAAGACAGTCCGAGTCTAGTCTAGACGCCAGTTTAGTTTGGCGCTTGTCTCCGTTAATACCCAAGTAAAAAATACCATACAGGGCTTTAAGAGTTGACCGTTTTATCATTTCTCATCATAATCTCATTTGGGAAACTATGTTGAGCTCGATGTGGTCCAGTACAACTGGTGGGTTTGATGCTAACATCACGGTTCTTATATAAGGAACTTGAATTTATGTACTGTGTCCTTCACGATTACATAAATTTACAATATTTCGTCGATTTATGTTTGTGTGTAACACTTTATTTTCAGTCCGAGTCGAATATATTTTTCCTTTTACAACTAAACATGTATTGATTTTTATATATTTTGAATGAATTGACCGATTTAATCCGTTTTATAACTCTAGAAATTTGAAAAGAAAATATTCCAAAATGATCCGATGTTTGATTAAAAATCATCGTTTTAAGCAGGCTTGTATTGTCCATCAGTCTTAAGGAGACCCAAGTTCAAGTTTCAAAAGTTGTACAATAAGTAAATAGATAACCTACATACACGAAAGTTTACTCAATATGCTGCGTTATATATATATATATATCCAGTGTTTATCACAATTCATCTTTGATTTACGATTTATCAAATATTATCTGAAGATGGTCTTCCACTCCGAATAAAATGCCTTCGATGTCCAACCGGCCGAAGGGATCGTCGGAACATATCGCAAATCATTGAAATATTTTTTGTAGCTTTGAATTTGTTTTATGTTCTATGTATGTGGTGTTAATCGTGTTATATTCTATATCTTGATAAAGGGATAGATTGTCGTGAAAATTTTCCAATTTACCTGTCCGTACTGTGGTACTGTTGATATTGTCTTTAGTTAGCTTGAAATTTTTGCATACACAGTCAACAAACTCTATCTTAATTTTCAACTTGCATTTTTGTACATGTGCAATTCTAATTTATAGAATAGTTTCAAATATTAGCTATTGTTGGTGACTTGAATTCCTAATAACTATGTATATAAATTAAGTGCTATATTATCCGACTATGTTCTCCGGTTTCCTCTTTGGTATTTAGATACCACCATAAGACTTCCCGCTTCGTTGACGACAAACTTTTACCTGGTCATAGTCTTACCCGTAGAAGAAAGCTGCATGCATACACGAGGGAAATATCGTGACTTGAGCTTCGTGTTACTAGGGGCAACTAGTTACCAGAGATTACTGCAGTTACATGAGGTAATCTACCAGTAGACCATGCAAATAATCCATTCAAAACCGACCAACGAGTGTTTGACCTATTGACAAAATAATTGCTCCTTTTTAAGAATTTAGAATTATTTACAAACTCAACATTTTCAAACAATCATTGCCTTATTCAACAACACCTAAGATTACGAGAAACTTGAAATCTTAGATATATTGGGTGGTTATGATTTATATCGGGTTTAATGTAAAAATAACGTCTGGATTATCTGACCAGACTTTGAACGGATGATCCAGGCGATACATAAGGTGTAAGGGGTAATTCGTACCCTGTAAATAGTGTTCTGGTGCAGCGAGATGCGCTTACAAAGGCTGTATAGTTGTATATATTGAAATTGTCCTATTCTAAAAACGGTGAAACCAGTCATCATTAAAATGATAAAAATGACATACAGCTAATCTTAAGTTTTTATTAAAGTGGGTCTCATAGTTTAATGAGGTGGTAGACCTACCCGCTGTCTTCACTCCTACTATGATATTTGCGTTTTTAAAATTTCTATTTCACTCTCGACAAATGAGTAATGTCATACTCCGTATCTATGATAAAACCCCTGTCTCCTTCATGTACTGTACTGTACATACTGTTTCTCTCAGGCTTACAATCGTGTGCACTGTACATACTGTTTCCCTCAGGGTTCCTATCGTGTGTACTCTACATACTGTTCCTCTAAGGCTTCCAATCGTGTGTACTGTACATACTGTTTCTCTCAGGCTTACAATCGTGTGTACTGTAATACTGTTTCTCTCAGGCTTACAATCGTGTGTACTGTACATACCGTTTCTCTCAGGCTTACAATCGTGTGTACTGTACATACTGTTTCTCTCAGGTTTACAATCGTGTGTACTGTACATAATGTTTCCCTCAGGCTTACAATCGTGTGTACTGTACATACTGTTTCCCTCAGGCTTACAATCTTGTGTACAGTACATAGACTCGTACAATCGTGTGAACTGTACATACTGTTTCCCTTCAGCTTACAATCGTGTGTACTGTAATACTGTTTCTCTCAGGCTTACAATCGTGTGTACTGTACATACTGTTTCTCTCAGGCTTACAATCGTGTGTACTGTACATACTGTTTCTCTCAGGCTTACAATCGTGTGTACTGTACATACTGTTTCTCTCAGGCTTACAATCGTGTGTACTGTATATACTGTTTCTCTCAGGCTTACAATCGTGTGTACTGTACATTCAGTTCCTCTCAGGCCTACAGGCGTGTCAGTTGTCAATAAAATCGTGTGTACTGTAATACTGTTTCTCTCATGCTTACAATCGTGTGTACTGTACGTACTGTTTCTCTCAGGCTTACAATCGTGTGTACTGTACATACTGTTTCCCTCAGACTTACAATCGTGTGTACTGTACATACTGTTTCCTTTTAACTTAGAATCGTGTGTACTGTACATACTGTTTGCCTCAGGCTTACAATCGTGTGTACTGTACATACTGTTTCTCTCAGGCTTACAATCGTGTGAACTGTACATACTGTTTCTCTCAGGCTTACAATCGTGTGTACTGTAATACTGTTTCTCTCAGGCTTACAATCGTGTGTACTGTATATAATGTTTCTCTCAGGATTACAATCATGTGTACTGTAGATAATGTTTCTCTCAGGCTTACAATCGTGTGTACTGTACATACTGTTCCTCTCAGGATTACAATCGTGTGTACCGGACGTACTGTTTCCCTTATGCTTACAATCGTGTGTACTGTACATACTGTTTCTCTCAGGCTTACAATCGTGTTTACTGTACAATCTGTTTCTTTCAGGCTTACAATCGTGTGTAATGTACATACTGTTTCTCTCAGGTTTACAATCGTCTGTACTGTACATACTGTTTCTCTCAGGCTTACAATCGTGTGTACATACTGTTTCTCTCAGGCTTACAATGTGTGTACTGTTTCTCTCAGGCTTACAATCGTGTGAACTGTACATACTGTTTCTCTCAGGCTTACAATCGTGTGTACTATACATACTGTTTCTCTCAGGCTTACAATCGTGTGTACTGTACATACTGTTTCTTTTAGGCTTACAATCGTGTGTACTGTACATACTGTTTCTCTAAGGCTTACAATCGTGTGTACTGTACAAACTGTGTACTGTACATACAATCGTGTGTACTGGAATACTGTTTCTCTCAGGCTTACAATCGTGTGTACTGTACATACTGTTTCTCTCAGGTTTACAATCGTGTGTACTGTACATACTGTTTCTCTCAGGCTTACAATCGTGTGTACTGTACATACTGTTTCTCTCAGGCTTACAATCGTGTGTACTGTACATACTGTTTCTCTCAGGCTTACAATCGTGTGTACTGTACATACTGTTTCTCTCATGCTTACAATTGTCTGTACTGTACATACTGTTTCCCTCAGGCTTACGATCGTCTGTACTGTACATACTGTTTCTCTCAGACTTAAAATCGTGTGTACTGTACATACTGTTTCTCTCAGGCTTACAATCGTGTGTACTGTACATACTGTTTCTCTCAGGCTTACAATCGTGTGTACTGTACATACTGTTTCTCTCAGGTTTACAATCGTGTGTACTGTACATACTGTTTCTCTCATGCTTACAATTGTCTGTACTGTACATACTGTTTCTCTCAGGCTTACAATCGTGTGTACTGTATATAATGTTTCTCTCAGGATTACAATCATGTGTACTGTAGATAATGTTTCTCTCAGGCTTACAGTTGTGTGCACTGTACATACAATAATGTGTACTATACGTACTGTTTCTCTCAGGCTTACAATAATGTGTACTATACGTACTGTTTCTCTCAGGCTTACAATCGTGTGTACTGTACATACTGTTTCTCTCAGGCTTACAATCATGTTTACTGTAGATACTGTTTCTCTCAGGATTACAATCGTCTGTACTGTACATACTGTTTCTCTCAGGCTTACAATCATGGGCAATGTTGATACTGTTTCCCTCAGACTTACAATCCTGTTTCCTGTACATACTGTTTCTCTCAGGCTTACAATCGTGTGTACTATATACATACTGTTCCTCTCTGGCTTACAGTCGTGTGCACTGTACATACTGTTTCTCTCAGGCTTACAATCGTGTGTACTGTACATACTGTTTCTCTCAGGTTTACAATCGTGTGTACTGTACATACTATTTCTCTCAGGCTTACAATCGTGTGTACTGTACATACTGTTTATCTCAGCCTTACAATCGTGTGTACTGTACAAACTGTTTCTCTCAGTGTTACAATCGTGTGTACTGTACACAGTTTCCCTCAGGCTTCCAATCGTGTGTACTGTACATACTGTTTCTCTCAGGCTTACAATCGTGTGTACTGT